TTAGACATTTTAATAAAACCAATTTGCAGTAGTGGTTATTTTGGTGGGACAAAAGAAATGCATTTTTGTCTCACTCAGGTCTGCTCTACCCCGTCTTCCAGATTTTTGGTACGCCTATTTTGTWGGGACAAGAAAAATGAATTTTTGTCCCACTCATAATCTGTCTTGTCTCGACCTAATATCGCACYGAACAATGTGACAACAATGTTTTTGTACTGTCATGTCCTGTCTCGTACACCAAACGCACCCTAAAATAAAGACCGTTAGCATCACATGAACTTGTGACCTTCCTGTCAAAAAGGAGTAACTTTACCRGTTACTCCAAGATTCGAACCAAAATTGACTTTACCAAATTTATGGGTTTACCTTAAGAGCTCTTGTTAACCAACCATCGGTTCCGCATGCGGTTTTCCATTCTTCCGAATCCCTTCTTAGTTTCAAGAGCCACGATGCTTTAACGGTATTTCTAGAAATGTCGATTAAAAGCTTGTCATAGGAGATCGATGTTTTTCTATGAAGATCCTTGTAGATTTCTACACTATACTCCCCGTAAGGTAACCAGTCGAAGGGAGCAAGATTTACGCTCATAGAGACATTGAAGCCAATGTTGAATCCTGAAGAGTATGCTCCTGGAAAGACGAGGACAAATTGATGTGGATACTGAAAACAACGATAGACGGGTATACCCTCTGAGTTCAAGATGGATGGTGAAAGTTGAGTGACCTGTATCAAGTCCTTAAACGTAAATGAACAATCCATATGTAACATATTCGCATAAAGTTGGATATTGTTGAATTTGCAGTTAGAATAGTGTGAGAATACGTGGAACCCCCAAATTACTTTCCAAAAGAGCCCTTAAGGAGATAAGGAGGTTCTCACATATACTGAGGAAAAATCGTCCAAGTCTAGCCGATGTAGGACTATAACACGCCCCTTCCAACAGAGGCTAGACGGGCACCATTATTTTCCCGAGTGTCGAATCCCTAAAGTGGTGGACCTTGGTTCTGATCCCATGTGAGAATAATTGGAACCCCAGATTACTCTCCAAAAGACCACTTGAGGAAGTTCACAAGTGGCAGATCCAAGAATTTTGTTGACGGGGTTGGAAATTAATTAATATAATATAAAATATAATAAAAGTTAAATGAAAAGGTAAAAAAATAGAAAACAAGGCATTCATATATGAAAAGTGTTAAACATTCATCCATAGAAAATAAAATTTAAAATAAATAAATTTTATAATCTATGGGGGTCGAACCTTTTTAATGGGGTCAAAACAAGGTATTTATACATAAAAATATAATCTATTAATATTAAAAATGTTATTTGAAAACTCATGGGGTCTGAAAGGGAATGAATGGAAAAAATAGCATGTCGTATCAATTAAGAGTTCTGAGAGATCCGCCTATGTGTGCAACCAAACAACAGGTACAATGCGATGAAACAAACTACTAAAGCAGGACGAACATTGCGTCTCACAAACAGTAAAAGCAAGTAAAACTAAGGTTGGCATATAGTAAAACAGGAAATACTAAGTGTGGCATAYGAAATAAATGTTGGCATACAGTAAAAACTAAGGGGATGTTTGGTTGACTTTTAATTAAGTCCTGTATGGATAAAGTTGTCTGTGTGGATTAATATGTCTGTATAGATTTGGAAGGGTTTTGTTTGGGAGAGTTTTTAATAAATGGAAGGAGCTTGTTTTTTTAATTGGGAGGGAAAAAACTTGGCTTTCTACATAAATCTCCCCCCTAAAAGCTTACTGAATAAGCCACTGTCTATATCATTAAGCCACTACCAAACAATCACGCATAGTGACTGAATAAGCTGTGAATCTCATTAAGCTCATTAAGCTGCTAACAAACAGTAAAACTGAGGTTGGCAAAAATGTTGGTACGCACCAGYTTATGGAATAATTTAGGATGCCCAAGTAACTGGGGGAAGGTTTTCTTCAATGCGGCTTCACATTTACTGTAATATCTACCYGGAATGGCATACCAAATTCTTGACGCACCCAAAGGCAAGTAACTGAGTGAGTATAAGTTGTGCTCTTCGACTTTCTGTTTCACAAAGAATTTAAAGCAGAAGTCAGAGCAGGCTGACCCAATGACCTCCAAACCAAATTAGAACCCTAGTTGAAGTAATTGGTAACCCACAACTTTGAGCTTATAAGAATATCTCCGGCATGTTCTCCAAAATGGAGAAAAATGAGATTTTGGGTAAATTTTTGCTACAACAGATTTTCCAAAATAGAGAAAGCAGGAGAGAGTGAAATTCCCCAAATTGGAAAATTCCCAAAAAAATGATTACCATGAGAGATTATTATATTATATTTTCACCAATAAGAATCCCCGAAACTAAATTTTTAGAAAAGAGAAATAATTTTCTATTAAATGTATGAAATATTTTAATAATATAATCAAAGTTGTAATCTCCAAAATGGAGAAGTTGGAGTTGAAGATAACTTTTTTGGAGATTTTASGTTTTGATTCTTTGTTTTGGAGAAATTTTAGAGAATCTGTTGGAGATGCTCTGAAGTATATATAATGATCTAAGAAGAGAGAAGTTTGAAATCTCACCCAACAAAATGAAGAAAAACACATTCCTACATCCATCCGTGGRGCTAAAGCAGCAGAACCATCATAACTTTCAGAAGCAAGAAGAGAACCYGGCAGCTTGGCTGTATTATTTAAGTTCCAACCTGATTTTATGTATTTGGTTTGATCTTCTCCAAGTGAATCAGACGGTAACGGAAATCCACTGCCAAGAACATTCGCCTCCAGATTATGACCACACAGCACCTGAAGAAAAGTCAACTTAAGAAACAATACCACAAAACGGCTTTATAGGATGCCAAATATGTCTAAATGTCCTAATAGACTGCTTTACAGAACTTAAGTTTATAGAACCAAACAATTGTTTGGCYTTTGTAAAAGTGCTATAATAAGTTTATARGACACTTTTGGGTGTCATAACAAGTTTTTTAGTACACTTTTGAAATGAAGTGTCGTTTTAGCTTTTTTATATGACACTTGTGAGAATTTTCCTCTGAATGCATCATTTTATAGGGCAATTAATATTTATAAGACATTTTTTTTCAAATAATGTCTTATGAAAAGACCAACATAACGTTTTATTTCAAAAGTTTCCTAACAAACTTCTAGGATCAACTTATCGTAACACATACCTGTAAACTAAAGCAGTCTATTAGGACATTTAGACATTTAGACATATTTAACGTCTTATAAAGCCGATTTTATCGTAGTGAAAGCAAGGTCCTTGATCATTTGAAGAAATAATTCAACATACATATTAGGTGTCAATCTACCTGAATTTCCTCGGTTGGATTTTGAACAATACGCCAATATTCACCTTCAATATCCTCCCAAGTTGGAGTCCCAGAGTCCATCAATATGCCTTCCTTTTGAAAATAACACGCTTCAAAATCCTCTGCGTATGTTTTGAACGTTTGCAATGTGAAATCTGGACCACTTTCAAGTTGAAAACCATCAGATCCATTATTTAGTTCCACCATTGAAGTTCTATTTCCGTTCATTTTCTCAGTGATCTTTCTACGTTCTCTCTTCAAATACGGATTCTGAAGTTCATCAATCCGCTGAACATGAGTATGAAATCTAGAATTTTCCCATATTTTGTTTTCCTTTATGGGGCAATATGGTTGCCAGGAATCAGGAGGAACAATACTGCAGATCCCGTATTCCTCTGCCTCCGGGCGTATTTTGGCAATATATTTAGAGGTATCCTCAAATTCCTGCCAATCGAAGTTGAGCTYGTTCATAAATATAATGCGGTAAAACTACCAGAATCAGAATATATACCTCTTCCGTTGGGTGAAATACAGGAGCACAATCTAACTCGAGCTTATTGGATTCTTCTGGCCGCCAGTGTGCTGTAACCTGTTATKGAAGTCATCAATCAGGTGGCATTTGGTTTGTAAAATGTTTTTGGAATGAATRGAATGTGTCAAAGGAATGGGAATTGGAAGAGATTGGAAATGAAACTGAATCAGGTTCGACCACAGGCGTTTGGTTGGTAGGAAATGAAATGGAATATGTCAGTTTGGTTCGCATAATATGACTTCGGAATTGTAATGAAAAATGATAAATGACCAAAAYACCCATTTATGACATTTTCATACTTTCTTGCTTAATTATAAATAATATATAATGATAAAATTAAATAATATTAATGGGTGGCAGTGGGGCGTCGATGGCGGTCTTAGGGGTGGCGATGGTGGCCGAGGTGGTGGCGACAGCGACGAGGACAGGGGTGGCATTGGTAGTGGGCGGTGAGTAACTGGTGGTAGTGTTGGTTAAATTGGATTTAAAGGTTATTTTTATCTTTATAAAATTAAATTATGAAATCCTTKACATTGGCCGATTCAAATTCCTTGACTTACGCAGAAAAATGATCAAATCCCTCAACCCTGGAATTCAGCATAATCCATTCCACTAAATCCACAAACCAAGCAGGGCAAAGGAATTTGTCATTTCAATTCCACCGGATTCCGCTAACACAAAAGCCCCCTAAGGAAATAGAACCAATTTTAAAMGGGGAAGATTTCAAACCTTCTGGCAATCATTACAACTTGAACATCCATGGATAACTCCTTTTGGAGGAGAGTTTTCAACACAGCTATTCTGTAAAAAAGAGGTAACRACGGTTATTGCTATTTAGGTTCATAGAGTAACACCTTTATATTGCTAAGTTCCGCCACATAAGTCAGAAAATTACACATATTTAAAYATTTATCAGTTCGCAAAAACAAACAGGATTATTTATTCTGCTTTCAGCACCACCTCTTTTCAATAAGAAGTGAAACAAGACTTCAAAGTTAAACACCTCTTAAAACACAAACATCTTACTCTCTCAACCTGATGCACTTTTATCCTAACTTCTACATTCTAATCAATTGCATGACAGAAAAAAACAACAACTGCAAGACAATCTGAGTAAAGGGCTTGTTCGTTAGCAGCTTAATGAGACTCACAGCTTATTCAGTCAGCTATATGTGACTGTTCGGTAGTGACTTAATGATAYAAAAAGTGGCTTATTCAGTAAGCTTCTAGKGCGGAACTTTATGCAGAAAGCCAAGTTTTTTCCAARCCTTTCCCTCCCAAATTATAAACATGTTCATTCCATCTATGAAAAAACCCTCYCARAACAAAAACCTTCTCAATCTATACAAACAGAAATAATGCACACAAACATCTTTATCCATAYAGGACTTAATGGAAAACCAACCATACAGCCCCTAATTGCATCTTGCAACCATTTAAGGAAACTAGAGAAAAAGAAGAAAGATAACCTTATCAAGATGTTCTCTATCCAACTTTTCTGAGCGGTTGATTTGATCATGTAGTATCCATGGCCTCCGCTTAAGAGATTTTTGAAGCTTTTCAATATCGAATGCTTGGGAAGAAGGTTTCACCTGTGTTGACCCTCGTTCTTCATTCCCTTCTACCCTCTTCAGCAGGAAAGAGGTGAGGGATACAAAAGCTGGTGGATTTGATTGTTCATCCGTGTCTATCCTTTTCGTCCGTTTGTTTTCGCTTGGCATTATTCTGTGAAATACGAAAAGGGTCAAAAAACTAATTTTAATGCCGCCATTTTAACCAGCAAGAAGGTGATCAGATATCAGCATACTGTAAGCCTTGTATGGATGAAGCTGTCTGTATAGATTAAGGGTCTGTATGAATTAAGTTAAATTGTTGTTCATTTGTTTGTTGTGTTGTATGCTATCAGAAGCTTCATGCATCTCTTTACATACTAAGAAATTAGAGAAAACGATCATGACAGGCAACTAAAATGTCTTAGAAATATTATGAGGAACATGAACTTCTACAAGTAACTTYGAAATTCAAAATATATAAAAAACTAGTTTCTAAGCCAATGCGGGGGAAAGAGAGCTTAAATAGCTTCAAGTGACAAAGGATAAAGAAACCAAACCAAAAGGGACCAGTATATCCATTTACCTACCTGTAGATGGTTTTTTTAGGGGGGGCGTAAGATGTATGCAAACCTAATGGTATGTTAAAATTTAAAAAGCTAAATATGAGTAATCGATAGCAATACAAATAAAGAGAGAAATACACAAACCAAACTATACCAACCCGACCTAGTAAAACCCACTCAAAAGTGGGGTATGAGAGTGAGATGTATGCAAACCTGCCCTCTACCTATTGTGGTGAAGTGATTGTTTCCGTAAAGACAAAAAAAAGAAATATAGATATGCTAATTTTTGAGAAACTTGATATGAGTTCAAATATAATGTTTTGCAATATGAATTTGTCAATCGAAAATTACAGTCATTAATTAATGAGCTAGCAAAAAAAACCATTCTTCATTCTTATTGAAATTTCAATGTCAAATATCTTGTAACAGTGACTTGGGAGGTTATTTCAGCTCAAGAAATTTGCCAATCATTTGTAATGGCACATAGCCCAAAGCAACAGTCTGGCCCATTAAGTTCAGAGTCAACTTAAAACCACAACGAAAGTTACTTATTGATAGTCCGCAACTTTAAGCTAGCTCCCCAATCTACTTTTGTATCCAACAGTCTGGCCCATTAAGTTCAGGTTCAACTTAAAACCACAACGAAAGTTACTTATTGATAGTCCGCAACTTTAAGCTAGCTCCCCAATCTACTTTTGTATCCATGCAGGACGTGTTGTTATAAACTTCTTTCACTTAAATTCCTGATATACCGGCCCAAAGTCCTCCTCGTAATCAGCAATGTGTGATTTGWGTGATTTGCCTAAGATGTTACAAACCCCCTCCCCACTCATCATGCTGAACGCGAGATGGTACAAGGACCAACTCTGATACCATTTGTAACCCTAAAGCCCAAAGCACCAGACTAACCCCGTAGCTTTGAATTCACAACCTACAACTTTGAACTTATAGGTGTATGATTCCAATAACAACATTGAAAGTGATTATATGAGCATCTGTTTCGAATTATTATAACCTTATCGTCGATACTGGTGCAAACTAATTAACCTGAAGTTTCTCATCCAAATTAAATTGAAAAATAGGTTTAAATTCATCATCAAATCGAGAGCTACTCTAAACAAAGTTCAAACTTCCGCATTAACACACATAGATTTGATTGAATTTCGTTATTTAAGAAAATTTCTGATACTGATGCAAAACCGACGGAGAACAAAAATTCGACAGCCTATGTTGAGGAAGTACTTACGAATATGTTATCMAGTGTTCGAAACTTGACAGTCCGTTAGCTTAAAATACCATCCAGACGATGGTTCGGAAGTGATGCCGGACCCGATGGCGGACCTGTCGACGACGGCGATGGAGTTGACGTCGGGACTTGGGATTGGGAGGGAGAACTGAAACATGGTTAGAGTTTGGGCCCTTTGGCCCAATTTGGTATTTCAGTTTTCATGAGAATACCACCGAATACCGATAATGATGTTTGTGTTTTATATAGTAAATTACGTTTTTGGTCCCYATGGTTTCAAAATTTCGTTTTTAATCCCTATAGTTTATAATTCATTTCTATTTTTATYATTGAGTCYAAAACACTAYCTTTAGTATGAAAAGACTAAAACATAAATTTATTTTAAACCATATGGACAAAAAAGAAAAAAAAATTATAGATCATAAAAATGAAAAAAGTAATTAATTATAAAACCATATGAATGAAAATTGTAATCGAAAACTATGAGGATAAAAATAGAAATTTTCAACAAACYATRGGGATTAAAAACGTAATTTACTCTTTTGAATGAGTAAACTACAAATTTCGTTCTTGTGGTTTGTAAAAATAACACTTKTTRTCCTTACAATTTTTAAATTRCAAGATAATCATCGTARTTTGCAAAGACCTCTGAATTTGGTATTTCCCTATGACGACCGTTAAAATTTTTAAAAGTGGGCCATTTTTTGCTTTTTTATTGATTTTGTTATATATTTCATCCAATCAAAATCGCTTTTTGTATTTTTGGTTTTAATTGGGTAACATATAGAAAAGTTGATAAAATGATGAAATTGTCGTCAATTAACAAAAAAATTAACGGTCGTTAAAGCATGGAGCCAAATACGAATATTTTTGCAAACCACGATGRCGRTTTTKTAATATCAAAACTGCATGAATGAAAAGTGTTTTTTCAACGAACCATAAACACCATATCCAGTTTACTTGCTTTTTTTTTTGTAAACTAGTAAGCTACCCGAGCGATGCTGCGGTATATATATCGATTTAAAGCCGATAACATAACATGTCAGTCATATTTCATTTTTGTCTCTTYTTTGTCCATCCAATCAAATATATTTTATGTATCTGATTATTTTATTTATTTATTATTRTAAATTTATGTTTTTATAGAAGGTGAATAGGATTTTTGAAGAGTGTGATTGGAATTGGGAGGTATCTCGAAATGTTATTCTCTCTTTTTGTAATAATTTTTCAGAAAACCCAACCAACTTTATTAATTTTGAATTATTAAGTTYATAATTTTTTTTGAATAAATAAACTATTAAACTTTCATATTTTAAATGATTAAGTTTTTGAATTTTTTTTATTGAATAAATAAACCTTCAACTTTAAAAAATTGGTTACTTGTATCTTTTTTGTCCAAAAAAGTTACTTCTAYTGTCACTCCTGGCCATCCCATTATTGTTCGTTCTCCATATCGYYATCGTTGRCCCCTGTCATCGATCTCCCTCTTTTATTTATTTATYTTTTATTGTTGTTTTATAACAATCTAATGGTACATATAAATAGATAAAAAAATCAAAAAGAAGAAGAATAATGATAGGATTGAAGGGTGGGTTGGGTTTGTAATTATTTATGTATACAACAAGATTTCTTCATTAATTAAGTTTGTTGAATAAGGCCCATTAGKCCAACCTTAAATGGGCCACTATCCTTCCTTATTGGGCTTTAAGCAGAGTTTTGAAGTCTTATGCTCCAAATATTGAATATGGAAAGTCATAAACCATGAGCATGCAACATAAAGACACCAAGGCCTTTGAGTTTTAAGTTGTTTTTTTCGACCATCGTTATTCGATGGTCGCAAGATCTCCTGTGATGGTTCTTTATGGTGGTGACACTACAAGAGAACAGAGTTTCTCTGAGAGACGAATTTGTCATCTTATCTGCTGGTKAATAAGTGATGGAAGAATACGTCATTGATGTTCATTACTAAAAATCCTTTTCTAGTAGTGTAGGATGATGGACAAGACCTCCATCTTTGTTTCTGATGAGCCTTATGGGCCAAAGAAACACATAGACGATGGTAGCTTGTTTCCATCAAGATAAAAGTAACAACAGAACTACAACAAGATCMAAATTGACGATATTCAGTGATACCACATATAGATCGATTCTAGCTAAAAAAAAGTCCTTCTAACCAGTAGAAAACAAAATTTGGGATAAAAGGCTGAGACAAACGCATAGATGACCCTAGAAAACGAAGATACAATGAGGGTGTCGTGAACAAGTTGGAAATGAATGTCATGATTAATACGTCTCAACCAACATTTCACTATGTGTATACTTAAATCGTCTAAGTTAAATCCTCTGAATTACGTATTATAGGGAGTTCTAAAGAAGTCTAGTGTTCTTTAAGATTCATGGTCTCCAAATAATCTTCTACCACTCCAAGATTCCTTATTTTGATCAATATACATTTATGTGGTCATACATGCTTTAGTAAAGTGAATTCATAACTTTCTCAAGCAAGATTATTCATTTGTGAATGCATCCAAGACGTTGTACATAACTCAACTAGTAATGGGTTCGTGACACTAGGGATAACAACGCGTAGATGCAGGGTTGGGGATCTTTCCTCTTTTTTTTCATTCATGGGGTCCTATATCCACCCTTATCTCAAAACTGTTGTCCCACGTTTGGCCCGCTCATACCCATCTTTCATCAAGTGAATTGTACGTTAAGATGATGATAYATACACAGGAATAGAATTGAAGTAGTATAAGCCTCATGATGAATGGTTACATATATAGCTAGGCATAAAGTAACGTGATCTTCRTGTTTTATTTCATATTTTCTTGAGAAAATGGTTTATATCTCATGTACTATGACTTGTTCTTCGCGTCCCTACAATTTTTTGCAACGATACCCCAAACTCACGACTTAATTAAGCACTGATATATATAAAACCTTTTTACGCATATAAAAAGAGAAATAACTCAATGTTTAAGCTTCATCGATCATGTATACATTACAACAAACCTTCTATGATATATATATATATATATATATACTTGTAATATACAACAAAGCATTACTTTCAACTCCAAAAAGAAAAAAAAAATAGAACACAATATGTATCACAAATAATAAAATGAGAGCAATTTTTACTGTTTAATTTTCCTATACCTAATACTTGATCAACATAATCAAGTAGTACTAGAAGAACACTATGCCATTGTCTTCATTATCACCATCTGCAAATCCAATTGGGGAAGGGATTCCAAATTCGAAACCAAAATCAGAAAACAACCCAGATTCCTGATCATTCTGATCACACTTGATGTTCGAGCATACGACAGTWGTTTGGTTTGTAGATTCTTTCAGGCTGGAGAATTGCGGAAAAGAAGGATGGTTATAGTCGTATTGGTGATGGTGGTTGTGGTGGTGGAAGGGTGGATTTTGATGGGAGGAATTGGTGGTGATTTGGTGGTAGCAACCACAAGACGGTGGGTGGTTATCATCACTGGTGGTGGGAGGATATGTAGTGTCTGTATTTGGTGAAGCAATATAGCTATTTATTATGTTGTTTTGTGGGTTAAATTCGTTGCTRTTCTCTCCTTTTGCTTTGTAAAATACTCTACATAACACCCAATCTTCCTGTCAATTTAAATTCAACCAAAAACAAAGCAAACAGAAAAGATTGTCAGATCCTTCAATTTAAAGAAAACGATAAGAATTTTATGCAAATTTGAGAAAGAAAATGGAATCTTGAACATGAAATGTGTAGCACTAAATTCCTTTATTTTAGAGCATTGTGTGTATATATACATATACATTTACATATATGTATGTATTATGGAATATAGATTTCAACCTTGGGAGGAATATTAGGGTTTTCGAGGCGAAATTCGTGCATGATCCAACCCGTTTTAACCCCATTCGGAGCTCTGTTCTTGTAAAACACAAGAGTCTTTCTCATCCCAACTAGGGCACCAGTCTTCGGATCGATAACTGTTCTATCTTTGCCTGTAGCCTTCCAGTATCCGGATTTCGTCGCCCTATTAGTGCGGTATCCTGTTGCGTACTTTCGATCACGAAAGCTGAAGAAATACCACTCACTCGAATTGAGTTTTGCCACCTCTTTAGATCATAAAACAAAAGATTTCAAAAGAAAATCATATATCATATATTATATAGATAAGAGCTTATCCCACAAGAAATGACAATGGAAAATGAAATATAGCTATCAGTAGGGTTTATGCTAAAAAGCTGAAAAGGACGATAAATTAATGCCTAAAATGACTTTGGAGACTGTAGATGGATGAGGAATACAAGGATTTCCAGTTTCCATGTGGTTTCCTTGAGAAGATGCAAATCAAAGGCTAAAAAAGGATGCAGTTTTGGTTCGAAGTCTATATCAGAATATGTCCTTATTAGCAGTACCATTCATGTGTGAGAGAGAATCTGTATGTATATATAAAAATGCACCGACTGGGTATATATGTGCTTAAATAGTTTGTACCACTGCTTTAGAAGTTGTACACTTTGAACTACATCAAAGCCAACATTCCATCAGGACTTATCTAATCATACCCGTGATCATAATAATCCATTCTCTCACTCTAGAAAATTAAATATATCTTGAATTGCTCAAGAAAAGGAATAATTTTCTTGATTAAGATGTATATATATACATACATATGTGTGTGTGTGTATATATATATATATATATATATTAAATGTCATATCCATTAAAAGATAAGATATTTTAGGGGAGGGGGAGGCTAAAAAACAAGATTTCTTGATTCCAAATTGAAGAAGGGTGATTTTAACTTTGCCCAGAAAACACCATCAACAAATTAAGCTCCAGATATATGCTTTATTGTGGTCATATAACATATGAAGCTGAAAACTAAAGATTGCCAAGATGAACACACACATAAACTCAGATATTTGATGATAGTGATTCTACTGATGATGGAGTCAGCAATCACAGGTATGATCACGCGATCGAACCTGTACGTATAGTTGGATCGAGATCAGTTCATTTGGGCAAAAAGTTATGATTTTTGTGATTCTTTTTTCCTTTTAACTTTCTTCTTGGAAAAGATGGTATAGCTAACTATATAGATCACGATGGTCCTACTACGCCATGTGCCTCTTGAGAATTTATGATTGCTAGCTAGCTTGTCTACTTGAACTGCTATCTAGCATGTTCACTGTCTGCTAATTAAATACCTAATTCACAAAACATGCATTTGTCCTCCATTAGAGATTAAAGATCAGAGATGAAGACGAAGGGATGATATGCAGAAAGAAACAAAGGGATAAATATATATATATATATATATATATATATATACCAGGAAGCTGCCATGGCTCACAAATATGAAGATCAATTTCCACAAGAGTACCCTTAAGAACATCTTCATTAGCAATCTTCTTGTAAAGATAGTGGCAAACCAACTCTTCATCACTTGGGTAGAATCTAAACCCTGGTGGCAACTTTGCTCCTATATCATTCAAACCCATCTTAATCAAGACTCTTTTCCCAAAAGAATCAACTGGGTCACAACCCCTATAAAAAATTATGTCTTAAAAAAGCTATATCATATATACATATATACAGATTTGTGTATGCAAGCAAGCAAGCAAGCTATAGGAATTGGTGAAGAGGGAATATAGCTATGGTCCAATCTAAAGCTTTATAAGTACTTGTTGCTAATATGGATTTATGTGTATATAATATTGAACAATGGTTTGTGAATTGTATATATAGAGAGAGGAGAGAGAAGGAGATGAGGTTGAAAGGTAGGTTGCCACCTATAATTCCTTAACAATAATTAGTAGAATTATTCTAACTGTTTATGATTATGCTTCTACTGTGCGTTATCGTTATGGTGGGGGGAACTTTCAAGAAAAACCAAACTCACAAGGAATCCTCTTCGTATTTGTTACTCTCTTCGCTCGATATATGATCTGATCTCATCATCTTTCGATTGTCGATATCAATTACATCTTTTTTTAATGGCGTGAGACTATAAAATATAATTAAAGATTGGCTTCGTTACATTATAAAAACGGGATTATAGAAATGTGGGCCGGGGCTATAAAATATTGCCAAAACCGACGGATCGTGGTAACTAATTAATATACGGATGGATTAATCCATCGGTTTTATTAACTTTTGAACCCTCGCCACCGACTTCTTTTCCTAATTTAGGCCATTACCAATAAGTATTGAGATCGACATGTGTAATCCACAGTAATGGCTCTTTTCGATTTTTAAACTAAAAGTTATTAAATAAAAATTAAAATCTTATATATATGGCGTTATTTTCTGAACAAATATTCTTCGTGAACATACATTTAACCTGAAGAATATACCATTTTTGAAAATTTATTTTTTCTGATGATGTTAAAAATTACTAATTTATGACACGGGATAAATTACTTCATTGTATACCTTGTAATTTACTTAGATCTCTTCTCTCTCTCTCTCTCTCTCTCACACACACACACACACACATATATATATATATATATAATTTAAATTTTATGAATTATTATTATTTTTATTTTCTATTTTCTATTTTCTATTTGTTCTTTAATTATAGGTTATGATGGTTGTTTTTTGATCCCATGGCTAGGGTTTATCAACTGTGTACCCTAAAATTTCTGTACACAGATTTAAAAAAAATTGAATTTAATTTTTTCATATATCCTTTTATATAACTTTGTATAACCATGACCCCGCGTGAACCCTTTCGACGACTCGATTAATTTAGGAATTCATGAGATCGATTGATGCAGAACATCCCCTCGATATATATACATCAAACAGATTTCAAGTCTTCTGACCTTCGAATTTAGTATCAAAAACTTATTAGCACTTGATTAGAATCAAACCCACTTGAAGTTTCATAACATATCAAAGTTTAAATTGATTAATGACTGCATATTAAACCAACATTTTTGGATTGAAAGCATCTGAACAGATTGTGCTGAAGAAGATCTAGCAGATACATCTAATTTATGAAACCCCTCTTTTCCAATGCACAATAACCACATGCTTAGGGCACAAAAGGTAGGGGGGTGTCACATAACTGAACCAATATTATCCACTTAATTAGAGAAAGCAATCTTCCAAGAACTTGCATGTGGCATTCTATTATACAAAACCGAATGATGATCGATCGATAACCATGTTTTCGATCTTTTGATAATATCAAAAAAGGACAAGAATGAAAGATCGGTTTTTATTTCCAAAGTATCTAGCTAATTAAATCTTTGTTGATCTTATTTATTCTAATTAAGATATTATAATAGTAGCATAGTACCATGCTACCATCCTTTTGATTGAAAATTAAGCCATAGGTTAGGGTTTAATATATTTAATTTATAGTTCTTATTGTTTATACATTCTCTCTCCAATCTATAAATGAGGTTGTGATTTCTTTTTAGTTATAATGAACCCAATAATTTGTCTATCAAGATTCTTATAAAAAGATTCAGGATGTAAACAAATTAGAGTGTCATACCTCATAATCTTTAATTCTGCCATAACCATTTCTTATTTATTTAATGCAAGTATATATATATATATATATATATATATATATATATATATAATATATAATATATATAGGGTTGGGTTCACGTGAAACCAAAGATTTTTCGTGAGACTCGTAAGACCAATTTATGTTCATTGATCAACTTTATAAGCTAATAATCTAATAGTCTAAAGTTGCACGGTGACAATTTTGTGATTATTGAGAAGTACCGTGACAATTTTGTGATTATGAATATTAAGATTTTAAATCTAATTCAATTGTTGAGAATTGATCTTACGGGTCTCACGAAAAACCTTTGATCTCACATGATCTCAAGTCTCTCTCTCTCTCTCTCTCTATATATATATATATATATTTTTTTTTTTCTTCAAGATCTTGTAGTTCAAATAAACTGATCAGCTTTTTCACACAAGTGTAAAATATCAGGAGTTTGAATTGTACACTTGTATTTTTCATCTACAGACCTATTAAAGATATATTAACAAACGCTATTACAACACATTAGGTTTATAGACGCTAATAGTTTTTAGGTGTTCTAATCGATTGCTTTAGGACTTAATTTTAACTTATATAACCAAACAATAAAATGGCATATCTAAAAGTGTGGCAAAAAGTTTATTTAGTGTTTTTGGACGTCTTAACAAATGTAGAACTTTTCTAATACAAAATGTCGTATTAGCTATCTTATAAGACATTTTTAAGAAGTATCATATGAACACATCTCCTTATAAAACACTCTTTTCAAATAATGTCCTATAAAATAGTTAATACAATATTTTTTTAATAAAAATACCCTAAAATGCTTGTTACGATGCCAAAAAAACGCACTATAAACTTATTACAACACCTTTAAATATGACACCTTATTGTTTGTTCTTATAAAATAAGTCTTACAAAACAATCTATTATTAAGATATAGCTTAGAGATTTTTTACGTCCTGTAAACCGAATTTTTTGTTGTAATGTAAAGAATAAAAAGTTGAATCACTTTGATTTCATATAGGGCTTCACCAAAATAAACAAACACCTATATATAGAACAAACCCTAATGTGAAATAAGGAAGAAGTTGATGATGATGTTGGTGAATTATTGACATAGAGTTTTAATTTTGGTGGGTTGGGTTTGTATTAATTAATGAGGTCATAAATAAATGAATTAATATGAGTATGTTGGACTACAACACAAAAGAATCAGTTGAGAGAGAAATGTTAATCATGGAGTTAAGACAAGTCTTATCATGTCTAATTATACCCATGGAATGGATAATTTGAATGAGTGGTTGATTGGGATAGATATAGAAACAATTCTTGTGGGTTCTACCAATCATCAACCACGTGATCATGACCCTTCTACAAGTTTAAATAGATCAAACAATGCCATTTGTCATTAAACAAGTGTTTCTGATATTACAGAAAATAAAACTTAACCATTTGAAAAAAATTATGTTTTAAAACATGTATTTAGATATAAGATTCGTTTGAATCGTGTATGTTAAGATTATATATGTATCTGGATGCGTGTTGTTATAAATAAAAAACGAGCTTAATCTATGGACTTCAAATAATGTATATATATACATACTTCAAGTTTGGATTTCATACTTGATACATTATTTGAAAATTTGCTAGAACGCGTGAAGAAAATAGGGTTTTCCGCTAGGTGTTTATATATGAAAAATCCCATCCATTCATATAATATATATATATATATATATATTCATGTAAACATACTTTGTAGGGTTATATATAATTATTGTAGTTAAATAATTGCATACATATGTTGCATACACAATCATGTTTATTAATTTGTCTTGTTATTTGTAAGACTCCAAAATACCATTATGAAACCAAAATAAATCTAATGAAGCAAAATGAGACATAATGACAATTAATTCGTAGATGGCAAGATTAAGCATTTTTGTAATAATTACAATCTTTTCGTATATGAAAATACGAAGACTTATCAAGAAATTATTCAGTATTGTAAACGAAAACCGTATTTTTTTAGTTACAAATTGATCATTAATTTTAGAACGTAATAAAATAATTCATATCAAGTTTTATTTGTGGATTTTAAACATTTATTAAATTAATAAAATAACCACTTTCATTATTGATAATTTACCTAATTTTGAAGATTGTTTTAGGTTTGAAGCTTATCAATTAAGGTTTGAATAGTTTCGTTTTTGTTCTCGTGTTTTAGCTTTAACGTCTTAGAGCCCAAAACAACAAATTGATTCAATGATATCGAATTCAACTTAGAACTAAAACGAAAGTTATTGGTAGCATGTAATTTTGAGCTTATAATCAACGATGTGGGATTCGTCTAAGACAATACAAATACTCCCCTCGAGGACTCGTCATGTCTGATGAGGCTCGTTCCACCATTCTGATGGTATAAGAATCGACTGTAATATCATTTGTAACGACCCAAAGTCCAAAGCAAAAGACTGACTCAATAACTTTAAATTCAACTTAAAACCATGGTGAAAATTATTGATAGCCCATTGAGTTTGTAAAAAGCTTATAAATTAATCTACTCTTGTATATGTATGAGACGAGTTGTTACATTAGCTATAATGGTTTGTAACCTATAACAATTTTATATAATATTGAATACATATGATTCGATATATATATATAGGAGCGATCAAATGAAAACCACTTCAATTTGTAAAAACCGTAAAAACTACTATCATCCGTCTTAATCTTATGAAATTTTTTCATGAAATTGTTTAATCTTATGAAATTGTTTCATATAATACTTTTTTTTGATGAAGTTGTTTCATATATGGTTATGAAATTGTTTCATATACTACTTAATGAAATTTTAATGAAACTGTTTCATGTATTTCTCTAAAATTAAAATAATGAAGATGATAATATCCATGATTAACATCCTCCACAATAAAAATGATTAATCAACCTCTCATAATTACAAAAAAATGAACAAAATAA